TTGATGGCCTGTTCCTTCTGCTGGGGTCTTGTTCACCAGGATATTTCATTTAGATTGTTTTTTGCCACCGTGTCATGGCTTTCCATGCCTGTGAGACTCTCATGAACCTTTTAGCCAGATCCGAATGTCCCAAGGGTTGATTCTGAGGCAGGTGTGCTGCCATTCTATGAGTCTGCTGTGTGTCCTGTTTCACCCGCAGGATCATTCTCTCCCTTTTAATTCTATCCTTCATTAGTTGCTTACACTGGTCTTATTTGTGAAATCTCATCGACACATACCCTATCTTTTTGATCGGTTGTGTACTTACACTTATCACTTTACCAAGTGTGCTGGCATTGGTACCTGCCTCCTTAGTAAGATTGATAGGCTTTGATAAACACACAGAAACCCCTGGTGGTCTAGCAGGCTACACCCTGTGCAACGCTCTGTGCAAACTCAGAAAAATCCAGAGAAATTCTCAAGTATCCATTTATCCCTGGCTGCATATGCAGTCTTACACAGAGAAGGCGGCCTGTTAGCTCAAGGTGTTTAACACAACCTCGGACCAATCACTGGCTGACCTCTAAGCAGTGCAAAGATGGAAATCTATAGCTTTAAATACCTATATTAGAAAATAACATACACCAAAAGGCTAAAGTTATACCTTCTGAAGATACAAAAAGGATAAATTAAGAGCAATGAGACAATAAAAAATTTAAGTATTACAGCAGAAATTCAGAAGATGGTAAACAGAAAAAGTGAAAACTGATGAAACCAAAACTAATTCTTCCAAAAGACCAATAAAAGTGACAAATCTTTAGCTACAGCAACCAATCTTTAAGAGAAGATACTCATCTAGAATTAAATAGGCCACCATCATAGACCAAAAATGATTTTAAGGGCACAGTATAAACAATTTCATGTAAATAAATCATGCAACTTCGACAAAATGGACAAATTCCTTCAAAAAAAGTATAAATTATCACAACTGACTCAAGAAGAATTTTAAAAATCTGAATAGACAACAAGTCAAAAAAATAAATAAGTAATTAAAAATTTTGAAGAGCTGGCACTGCGGCATATCAAGTAAAGTTACTGCCTGCAGTGCCAGCATCCCATATGGGCACGAGTTCGAGACCTGGCTGCTCCACTTCCAATCCAGTTCTCTGCTGTGGCCTGGGAAAGCAGTAGAAGATGGCCCAGATCCTTGGGCCCCCGCACCCAAGTGGGAGACCTGGAAGAAGCTCCTGGCTCCTGGCTTCAGATCAGCGCAGCTCAGGGCGTTGCGGCCAACTGGAGAGTGAACCATCAGACAGAAGAACTCTCTCTCTCTCTCTGCCTCTCCTCTCTGTGTAACTCTGACTTTCAAATAAATAAATCTTTTTTAAAAAAAGGATAAGAATTCATGATAATCTCAGGGGATATGAAAAGGACATTTGACAAAATCCATGACTGAAGAACTGCGTGAACTAAAAACAAAGGATGAAATTTCTATACCTTATAGAAGGCACCTACATAAACCCTACTGCTAGCCATTTAATGGTCAAAGCCTGAACTGTCTAAGATCTGAAATAACACAAGTATGTTATATGCTTACCAGTGCTACTATTCATTGTATTAAACCTCTACTCTCAGGCAACGTAAGTATGTATTAGGCATCCAAATTAAAAACAGAGTAGTAAAAACGTCTTTATTTGTAGATGACAAAATCTACTACAGTAAAACACCCAAGGAATCCACACAATTACTACTGAAACTAATAAGGAATTCAGTGAAGTCAAAGGATGCAAATCAATACTCAAAAATTACTTTTATATAGCAGCAATGAATAATCCCAGAATGAAATTAATAACCCCATTCACAATCATATAAAAATAATAAAACACCTAGAAACAAAAACATCTAAGGCTTATATCCTAAAAAATACAATCACTGCGGAAATTAAAGGTGAGGCAGCAGAGAAGCAGTTCATGTCTGTGGCCTAGAATAGACTCAATTTAAGATGGCAAAGTTCCCCAAATTGATATATACCGGCAACATAAAATCTAGACAGGTTTGTTTGCAGAAACTGACAAACTAATCTTATACTTTATATGGAAATGCAAAGTATGAAGAAGGCCCACATTTTTTAAAAAGAACAAACTGGAAACTAAAACAACTGTTGAAACCAAAACTTACAACAGAGCTACAGAAATCAAGACAGTGTGGTACTGGCATTAAGGAAACTGAGAACTCAGCAGAATAGAGATTACAGAGGAGAAAACGCCTCATACCTGTAGTCCACTGATTCTTGACAAAGGTGTCAACACAGCTTAATGAGGAGCATTCTTTCCCACAAATGAGAATATTGGTTTAGAATATTAACTCACAGTACACGTGGACATCAACTCAAGGGGCAGGTGCTGTGGCATAGATATGGGCACTGGTTCCATCCCCAGCTGTTCCAGTCTGACCCAGCCCCCAGCTAATGAGCCTGGGAAAACAGAAGAAGACGGCTCAAGTGTCTGGGCCTCTGCACATATGTGGGAGACCTGGAACAAGCTACTGGTTCCTGGCTCCTGGCTCTTGGCTTTGGATTGGCTGAACCCGGGCCACTATAGCCATTGGGGAGTGACCAGCAGATGGAAGATATATATCTTTCTCTTTCTTTCTCTCTCTCTGCCTCTCCTTCTCTATAACTCTGCCCTTCAAATAAAATAAATAAATTTATATATGTCTGCATGTATATAAATTAAATCAAAATGTTTCACAGAGGTGGAAGCTTAGACAGCAGTTAGACTCCCAATGGGACACCTGCTTCCCATGTCAGAGTGCCTGGCTTGAAGTCCTACTTCCCCCACCAATTTCAGCTTCCTGCTAATGAACACCCTGGGCGGCAGTGAGCGGTGGCTCATGTAGCTGAGACCCTAACACTCATGTGGAAAACCTGAAGTAGCCTCAGCCTAGCCCAGTCCCAGCTGCTGTGGGCACCTGCAGAGCGAAGCAGCAGATGGGAGCTGTCTGCCTGTCCCCATTCTCCCTCTAAAATTAAAACAGACCAACAAACAAAACACACGGGCCTAAATCCAGGTCAAAAACTACAGAGCAGCAGAAATCACAGGAGAGTATCATGACCTTGAGGCAGGTCAGGATTTCTTAGCTATGACATCAAAAGCACAATTAACAAGTGAAAAAACTGGACTTCATCAAAGTTAAAACTTTTATATTTGAAAAAGGTCAACAGTTGATCAAAGATATACGAACATGAGAAAAATATCCAAATCACCTGCCATTAGAGAAAAGCAAATTTAAACAACAGTGAGATACCATTACACAGTGACAAGAGTAACTTTCAAAAGACAGTATCACATCGCAAGAAGAAATTCTGACATTGCTGATGCAATGTAAAATGATCAATGTCACTTTGGAAAATAATTTGGCAATTTCATATGAAGCTGAGCATCCAGAAATTCCACCTGTACTCCAAATGAATGAAGAAAATTAAATTATGGCACAGCAAGTTAAGCCACTGCCTGCAACCCAAACATCCTATATGGGCAACTATTTCAGTCCCGGCTGCTCCACTTCCAATCCAGCTCCCTCTCTGCTAATGTCCGGGGGAAAGCAGTGGAAGATGGCCAAATAGTTGGGACCCTGCTACCCAAAGGAGAAACCCAGATGAAGCTCCTGGCTTCAACCTGGCTCAGCCCTGCTCACTGTGGCCACTTGGGCAGTGAACCAACAGACAGAAGATTGATCTCACTCTCTCTTGCTCTCTCTCTGGGTTACTCTATCTTTCAAGTAAATAAATACGTCATTCTAAAAAAGTAAACAAAGACAGGTACAAGTACTTTCCCAGTAATTTAATTCAGAGCACTCAAATCCTGGGGACAGCAACTGTCTGTCTATCAACAGCCAAGTGAGTAAGCCATGCTACGCCCACACAATGGAATACCACTCTGCAATGAAAAGGACTGAACTGTTAATGCATGCAACAAACCTAAATGGATTTCAAAATAACTGTGCTGAGGTCAAACAACAAAAACATTGTCTGACGCCAATTATATAAAACTCCAAGAAATGCACACTGATCTACAGTGACAGCAAACAAAGTGGTGGTTTCCTCAGGGGAGTGTTAAGTGATGTGACATAGCAGAGGAACGGATTACAAAGATTTCTCCTTATTCTGGGCATGATGAACAAGTTATCTTTGAAATACATCAAAGCTTGTTAAAGTGCACATTTTAAACAGATTCAGTTCATTGTACATCAATTATACAACCATAAAACTTTAATAAAAGGAGGAAGGAAGAGAGACAGAGAATAAAAAATAAACAAAAACCTCCTGAATGGTATTAGAATTCCAAGGGAAGAGATAGTGGTAGCCGACACTGAGGTGAAACCACGGTGACAGAAATACAAGGGGATCCTTTGAAAGTTTCTTGGAATATAAAATTGAGAATATTTTGTTGATGAAGTCGATATTGGGAGTTCAAGCAAAGAAGAAATAAAGGACAACTTTAATTCTGGCTTTGGTTACTCACTGAATACAAGAGTGAACTGCTTAGCTGAGCAACACGAGGAAGCATAACAGAGTTACCATTCCTCATTTCACTACCAGCCGTTATTCAAACTAGTTTTATAAGCTTAATGGATTTTAAGCAATGAACCAGGGTTTATACATAAACATCAAGAAAATAAAAGTGGGATTCTTCTTAGTAAACTACCAAAAATACAAAAAAGAAATCATGTTTACGATGTTTAAAAGGAAAACAGTAGGTCATGAAGTGTACAAAAGGTTTAAAATACCTGTTGTCAAAAATATTTTTAAAAGTAAATGAATCAAAGTGCATGTACACATTAAAAAATAATTAAACTACCTTAAGTAATTCATACATTTTACTTTTGATGATTCTTTTCTACAAGTATTTAGGTCTGTTTAAATTCCTAATTAAAAAACATGTGTGTTTCCTTAAATCTAATTAATAACTGACAATACAGAATGCTACAGATTCGTTATTTCCATCAGCATCTTTGCTTACCTGTTTAATCTTTCAAATCGTTTCCCAAATTGTGCTGGCTTATATGACGGGCTAACATCCTGACTTCCAGTTAGTTTGGAAAGCTAGGAATCAGAACAGATAAGATTACTCAGCTGAAGAGCATATGGAAGAAACTGCCACAACGGTCAATTCAAATACATAAAATCTGAATTTTACACCATAAAATGACATTTAAGTGAATTACATCTATAGCCAAAAAAACACTTTCAGTCAAAATAATTTTATTCCTTGTGAAAGAAAAAGAAATACTTTCTTACAATGAAATAAACATTAGTATTAAATAACAGAGTTGACACATGGAGAACTGATCATTTTTTTTTGTGAGTTAAAAAAAAAAAAAACCGCCGGCGCCACAGCTCACTAGGCTAATCCTCCGCCTGCGGCACCGGCACACCGGGTTCTAGTCCTGGTTGGGGCACCAGATTCTGCCCCGGTTGCTCCTCTTCCAGTGCAGCTCTCTGCTGTGGCCCGGCAAGGCAGTGGAGGATGCCCAAGTGCTTGGGCCCTGTACCCGCATGGAGACCAGGAGGAAACACCTGGCTCCTGGCTTCAGATCAGCACAGTGCGCCCGCCAGTCATAGCGGCCACTTGGGGAGTGAACCAACGGAAGGAAGACCTTTCTCTCTGTCTCTCTCTAACTCTGCCTGTCAAAAAACAAAACAAAACAAAACAAAACAACAACAAAAAAACATGTACCCAGGAAACCAGAATGCTAGGTAATCAAAAGTTCAATTTCTCAGGAAGAGAATAGCTTGCCCAAACAAAGGACCATAGTTATTTCAGTTCTTCCACTTACTGAGTTATGTTGGACTTGTACTTTAATTTCTATGAATACTAATATCATTTAGTACCAAACAGGGAAAGTGTATAAAGACCATTAAGAAAATCAGACAAGAATCCATTGCTTAATCTGGATAATACCATAAAATGTAAATTATTATATTGGCCCAATATTAATCTAGCAAATACAATTTGCATCTGTACTGTATGATTCATAACCTATGAAACATAGAAACAAGAACAGAAACAATCAATGACAGAAATTGGAAAAAAGGAGAGGGGGTGGGTAGGAGCCAAAAAGACATGAAAGTGTCGCTCCCCGTCTTCGTGGGGGAACGACACAGGACCCTGCGCTGTTCTTCTGTCTGCTCGGCCCTCCCCGGGTTTGCTGCTGGTTCTTCCCGGGTTGGCTACTGACCCTTCCACCTCCGTGGAAGGGCGGTTCCCCCTGGCCACTTTCCCCACTTCCGCAGGGGAGTGGCACACCGCCGGCCGGCTCTCCCGGGGGCTGCACAGGTGTTCCCCTTAGATGTTCCTGGTGCATGCCGTCTCTCTCCTCCTTTATAGTCCTCCTCTGCCAATCCGTGCTCGGCTGCCCACACGCCGAGTATGCTGCTCTCCTCCAATCAGGAGCAGGTCCTACAGTTTATTGGCTGAACTGGAGGCAGCTGTGTAGAAGCTGTTTTCTCCTCTCCCAGCGCCATATTGTGGGAGAGCAGATGCATAGAATAAGTCTTAATTCCAGTAACTTAGTCTAGTCCGAGTTGCTCCCCACAGATCCCCCTTTCTTTTTATTTTTTGGCGTTGATACGCGCCTGTCTTCGGTGCCCCGTGGCACACACTCTGCTCTGCTTGCTAGAGTTGCCCACAGGTTCTTACAAGTCCTATCAATCAGGCAAACCAAATCCGGGTCCTCTCTTCGCCATGTTGTGAGGAGGTTTTTAGGCGCTGATGCGTGCCTGTGTTCGGTGCCCTGCAGCGCATGCTCTGCTCTGCCTGCAGGTGCTTACAAGCCCTATCAGGCAAACCGAATCCAAGCCTTCTCATTGCCATATTGTGGGGAGGCTTATTGGTGTTGATTCGTGCCTATCTTCGGTGACCTGCAGCTCATACTCTGGTCGAGCCGCCTGTTGGTGCTTACCGCCTTACTAATCAGGCAGACCGAATCCAAGCTCTCTCATTGCTGTGTTGTGGGGAGGCCTTTCTCTATTTTTCTATCTCCGGGCATTCCTATCTCTCCTATTTTACTTCTATCTACCAGCATTCCTATTTCTCTCATTTTACTTCTAAATTTCTGTTTCTCTTATCCCTGCGGCTTCCCGGCGCCCGCCCCGAGGCTGCTTCTCGGCACCCGCCCCGCAGCGGCTTGCCGGCTCTGAGCCGCTTCAGCCCGCGCCTCTCTCATCTGCGCGGCTTCCCGGCTCTGCGCGGCTCGGCTTCGCGCGCACACTCCGCGGTCTCGCACTAGCCCAGCGTTCCCTATCTACTTGTGCCCCGCACGCTCTCTGCGCGCAGCAGCCTCCGCGAGTCATACAGCCCCAGCTCACATCTCCGCCACTAGTATTCAATCTAAGTTCCCCGGGCTAACCTGGCGAATTCAACCCAGCTCACATTTCCGCCCCACGATTTGGCTTCCCGTCCTTTGCTCCCCGGGCTAATCAGACGGATTCCAACCTGGCTTACGTTTCCGCTTCTGGTTTTAACTTTTCGCCCCTTATTCCCGGGCTAACTTGACGAATCCCAAAGTAGCTTTCGTCTCCGCCTCAGCCTGCCCCCGCGGCTTCAATTTTCCTAACATTTTTCTCTACCCGGTATATTTCCCCAAGCTTTCCTCCAACAATACTCCTCCCTCATTTCTCCTGGCCTCTCCCCACAGTCCGCATCCGAGTCTGTTTGTTCTAGCTTTCACTTTCGACCTTAGAGATTTCTCCCAGCTTCCCCCCGTAGTCCGTATCTGAGTCTATGCCTAGGCTTTCAATAGCTTCTTCCGGCACCTTTTTGGTCCGGCTTTCCCCTAGGCTGTTTGCTAGTCTCTCTCTCCGGTAATTTCCCACTTCTTCCCGTTTTTTCCCTCCTAGGTTTCCTATCCGAGTCACGGCACCATTATGTTGCTCCCCCTCTTCATGGAGGAACGACACTAAGCCCTGCCTAGGCTTCCTATCTGAGTCACGGCACCATTATGTCGCTCCCCGTCTTCGTGGGGGAATGACACAGGACCCTGCGCTGTTCTTCTGTCTGCTTGGCCCTCCCCGGGTTTGCTGCTGGTTCTTCCCGGGTTGGCTACTGACCCTTCCACCTCCGTGGAAGGGCGGTTCCCCCTGGCCACTTTCCCCACTTCCGCAGGGGAGTGGCACACCGCCGGCCGGCTCTCTCGGGGGCTGCACAGGTGTTCCCCTTAGATGTTCCTCTTAGATGTTCCTGGTGCATGCCGTCTCTCTCCTCCTTTATAGTCCTCCTCTGCCAATCCGTGCTCGGCTGCCCACACGCTGAGTACGCTGCTCTCCTCCAATCAGGAGCAAGTCCTACAGTTTATTGGCTGAACTGGAGGCAGCTGTGTAGAAGCTGTTTTCTCCTCTCCCAGCGCCATATTGTGGGAGAGCAGATGCATAGAATAAGTCTTAATTCCAGTAACTTAGTCTAGTCCGAGTTGCTCCCCACAGAAAGTCTTTGGGAATGAAAAAAAAAAAGAACACTAGCCATTCAATCTGTGGTGAGGATGTATCTCATTGAGGTTTTGATTTCCATTCCCTGGTATTAGCTGTATCCACATACTTTCTGAACAACTGTATGCCTTCTTTTGAGAAGTATCTTCTCAAGTCTTCTGCCCATTTTTAATCAGATTCTATTTTTGCTCTTTAAACGTTCTGAGTTTCTTATATGGTCTGGATATCATACTCTCGTCAGATGGATACCTGGCAAAAATGTTCCACCACCCTACAGGTTTTCTTCACTCTGCGGATTGTTTCCCTGGCTGCTGGTTGCAGAAGCTTCTTAGTGTGATACAGTCCCATTTATCTCTCTCTGCTTTTGTTACCTGTGCTTATCAAAAAAAAGTTTCTCCCATCTTTTGTTCTAGTAGTTTTATAGTTTCAGGTTTTGTTTTGTTTTGTTTAATCCATTTTGTGTTGGGTTTGTACACAGTGACTTGCCCCACTTTTCCAGTATCATGTATTAAAAAAAAATGTTCTGGGGATCCAAGATGGCTGAAAACAGAAAAGATATGCTGATTTTGACCATGAGAAAGTAAAAGAAGCAAAGTGAAGCAACTGTACTTCCAAGGGAAAAGTGCAGAGAAATTTACTGTGGAAATCCTACACAAAAGAAGATGCCAGGAGCAGTGTGGACAATACAGACAACCAGTAGCAAGTGGGGACGCCACCAGTGAATCCCACAGCCGGGGCTGGAGGAGACACCATCTTCTGCGGCTGCTGTGTCTCTGCTGGCACTGCCTGAGGGAGAACCTTGTGGACCACACGGACTTTGCATCTGCCTGGACCACTAGAGGGGGCAGGGTGCCCAGCTAATACTCTGAAAACACAACACACTTAAAGCTTTCCATTCTCCTCCCCAAAGGCACAACATTGACAAAGAAACAGATCTAATCTCCACCATGGGCCACACAGACCTAATTAATTTTCACAGATCATTTAATAACACAGCTGCGGAAAACATAATCTTTTCAACAGTAAATGGAGCTTTTATTTAGGATGGACTATATGTTAGGCCATAAAGTATCAGCAAATTCAACAAAATCATAATCATACTATATATATTTTCTGACTATAAAGGAATGAAGTTGGAAATTAACAATTTAAGAAACTCCAGAAAATATGCAAATACATAAAGACTAAACAACATACTCCTGAATGAACAGTGGTTCAAAGAAGAAATCATAAGGGAAATCAAAAATTTCAGGAAACAAATAAAGATGACAACACGGCATACCAAATTTATGGGACACAGCCAAACTGTGTTAGGCGGGAAGTTTATAGTACTTGGTGCCTACATCAAGAAACTGGAAAGGTACCAAGTAAATGACCTAACAATGCATCTGAAGAATCTAAGAAGCAAATGATACTCCAAATTAGTAAGAGGAAAGATAATTAATTAAAATTGGAGAATAAATAAACCTCCACCTGCTTTGCTCGCATTCCCAAGTGGTGCCAGTTCATGTCCTGGCTGCTCATTTTCTGATCCAGCTCTCTGCTTATGGCCTGGGAAAGCAGCGGAAGATGGCCCAAGTGTTTGGGCCCCTGCACCCAAGGGGAGACCTAAAAGGAGC